TTAGTGCTAGAAGCTCGCAAGGTAGAAGACGGATTTTCTCTCTTAGAAATCTCACAAAATGCTTTAACCTAGTTGTGGAAAAGGATCTTCCTATTTATATGTTCGGAATAAGGATAGTCTTGGTAAATAAGAAAACTTAGATTCGCGAAAGATCGCTTGATCGGTAAGAGGACAGTCATAAGGAAGTTCTCACTATAATGAAAATTACGTTTCAATCCTGACCAGGAGCACTGACCACTCAAGCGACTAGGAGGACCTCTCGAGCGATCATGCAAGACCGCTCGTGCGAGCTCTGTACTCCTCTGTGGCCTTTTACCATTTTACTCTAAGTCATACAAGAGACCGCTCTAGCAAAAGTTAGCAAGCCTATCAGGTACCCCTGATACCTTTAGACCTTAGATATTGATACCCCGATGTATAGTGGGCTCAAATACCGATATCTAGTCTATCAGGTACCTGTAGCTAACAAACAGTGGNGAGAGTTAGTTTTGTTGTCGATTCTTTGGTGATATCTCGGGAGACCAAGCTGGATGTTGTCTTGAGGCCACAGTACACTTTCACTACAGTGTATATATGCATGATCTGGCTAGGGAGCTGATTGGAGATCCCCACTTCGTTTGGCTTCAGCGGGATAGAAACTGAACCAGGGGCAGTTGACTGATANTAGCACTTATACGAGATATCGGTACCTCTTCTCAAAACTTAAAATTTTAAAAATGTAACACTAAGGGCCCTCACATCATAAGCGCACTTCTATGGATGTACATGGATAATAATAAGTCCTAATTATTGCGATTTGGACCTTGAAATAGTCATATGGTTAATATGTGTACATGTTATGTGTTGGGTTATGCTCCAATACAAAGAAGACTATGTCCAAACTCTATTTTGGTTATGATCTGGGCAAATGGGGTGTAACAATGTGATATTGGGTTATACGGTACTCACGGATATTTCCTCAGGGTGATGCGTAATCAACAGGTTGAAAAATGACCTCCAGATTTTGGGGTGCCACATTTCCCAAAAAGTATTGCTTTATAATTCTCGCCTCTACATTTTTCCCAGTAAGTTGAGGTCAAGTGATTAGGCATATTGTTTTTAAAGAGGTTTTTCCCCATGGAGAATTAAAATTGAAAACCCCAAGAATGGGAATATGTTTAAAGTCAATGTCCAAAGATTGAAACCGTTCTTAGAAGGATTTGCGGCTGAGGTGGAGTCCATTGAGTTGGTTGATCCATAGTGTGAACGTCTTTTGTAAAATAGTGTATAGTAGATTTATTCATTGTTTTATTAATTCTTGTGTAAAGTTTCTTTTTATTAATAGATTGAGTGTTGATTTTGCGGATATAGGTATGTCTCTTCCTTTACCCTATTGATTTTATATTTCTTATTTTAATTATTCATTAAGGACATTGTGTAATTTAGGTTGGGGTGGGATAGTTTTGTAATGCACAATCTGTGCTAATAGTACAAACTTTTAGGACTAAATAGACATACACATAGGATGAGAAATGTAATTGTCCCCAAAATTCTGTCATTTTTTTCAATAATTTTTTTAATTTGGGGTCGATGTTGAGAGGAGGTTGAAATGACTTATGCACAAATGTATGAGTCCGAACGAGATTGGCGTTAGGACGCACCTGCCCCGAGAATTCAAATTGTTAGGACGCGCCTTGGACGTCCGGATGTGCCTTTTGAAACAAGCTAAATGGCGAGAATGTCAACCTAACTTAAACCTAGCGTCTGAACGCAAGAGTCCTATCCGGATGTGCGTATGGTTTATTAAAGGAGTCATCATCCTCCTCAACCTTCATGNTAAACCCATAATCAGAAAATTGGTGCTGAAACTATACAGTTACTAATAAAATGTTACAACAAAGAGTAAATTTACACTTAACCCATAATATGAAAATTGGTTCTAAATTCATACAAATAATAATAAATTGTGACAACCTAGAGTGACACAATACAGAAATCTAAAATTTCGTTGAATCTTATTTATTTGTTTAAATAAATATGATATAGAAGAGGAGGAAACCCAGTTTTATAATTTTTTTTGTACACCAGTAGCATAGGGTGAATGTTGAGATATACATCACATGTACATTACAAGTTATCATACTGTGACTTCATAATGTGACACATACATATACTAAATATTTATGTTAAAAACTAATTGAATAAGAGTCGATGATAACTGATAGTGGAGAAAACTAATGTTTCATACAATATTTGATTCAAAATACGGATTGGGCATTTTTCCAAAAGTTTATTGCATATGCAATTACTGGTATTTTTTTACAGATTTATGCAAACTATTTCATTTTGAAAATTGTAGACAAGAATACAAATCTATCAATGATCTCTTATATTGGAAAAAATCGTCGGCGATCGATCGATGCTTAATATGAAACTCTACTCTTCGTTACACTCCAAACAATTGTCTCCATACCGGTAAAAAAAATGTGGGACTTTGAGAAGATTCAGACTTGTTTTTCCTAAAGATTTGATAAAAAAATCCTCCTGTTTTTGTTGAATTTTTGTTCAGAAATGGGGTGAATTCAGGAGAGCATTCAACTAGGTTTCCTATTCCAAGTATGATAACGATTAACGTGAACTAAAGGTTAAAATAGACATTTTTTAGACTACATAGACTTTTAATCAAAATTATTTTTAAAATGGACTTTTACTCGAATAAATTTATTTAGGTGTACCTGCTTCTGTTTTTCCCTTTTATTTATTGTCATAATAGGAATAAAATAATGTTATTGGGACCTAAATAGCTAATTTAATTTACTGTCATAATAATGTATCAAGTGATGAAATCCTAATGAAAAAGTTTAAGAGTTACAGTCGCAACAGCACCATTGGACCACATCACTGTCACATCATAAGATTAACAAATTAAGTCAATTTTTTAAGTTTCTATTGTAATAACCTGCCAAAAGGCCTTGCAAGGGAGGAGGTACTATAACTTCATGTGTGGTATCCCACATCAACTCGAGAGGAGGAGTGACTGGGTTATATATGTGATGTGCTCACCCTTAACTGTTGAAATGTATTTTTCAGGAAAAATCCAAAAGAACAAAACCGTGAATGTATGAGTACCTAAAACGGACAATATCTTAATAGTTAAGACGGGTCGTTATAGGTGGTATTAGAGCTAACTCTCCTACAGTCGGTAGGGGTAGACTCCACGTGGGCCTCACGAGGATGCGTGGCCTCTAAGGGGGTGGAGTATAATAGTTTGCCAAAAGGCCTTATGAGGTGAGCAGGTGTTATAACTTCACGTGTTGTATCACACATCAACTCAGGAGGGACAGTGACTAAACTATATATGTGGTCTACTCACTTTTAATTGTTAAAAGGTTTTTTCTAGAGGAAAACTCAAAAAAACAAAGCTGTGACTATATATAGACACCAAAAATAAATAATGTCTTGACAATTTGAACGAGTCGTTATATCTATAACATACTCATAACATTATACTTTCTTTTCTTGTTTATGTTGATGACTTAATTATTACCGGCAGCAAAATCCAACAGGCTGCTCAAAGATTCTGTCTTGAGGATTGGGTCTGTTACACTACTTCAGGTATTGACATGAAACCCCAGTTCAAAAAAATAAAAAAGAACTGAAACCCACTATCAGGAGTCTATTCTACACTCAGCACAAGTACACCCAGAGACCTCCTCAACCATACCTCCATGGACGGTGCAAAAGAAATTTTAAACCCACTTGCCACCACCGGAGGTTTCATTATTTAAGAAAATAAAATAACAAAGGTTTTGAACAAGGTTGTCAAACAGAACCAACAATGTGTCTTTTTATCTATTAAGCTTTGTCGAAATGATTTTTTTTTCTTTCTTTCCTTCTTTCTTTTTTTTTTTTTGAGTTCTTTTGGGGATAGTTAATATAACAGATATCATAAGCTAAGTGATACTACAATTATTTCTGTTCCTCATATGTTGGCTACCCAATGAATGTTGTTTTTTAGTTCTTTTTGTGAATTCAGATATGATAGATTTTTTTATTTTTTTTTTTGAACTTAATTCAGCTATGATAGATTACTATGTGACTTGTAGGTGTGATTGGATGAGTGTGTATGCTCACGTATGTTTTGATTGGTTAATAAATTATTTGGTGCAAGTTATACTAGAGAAAAAATTCAAGAAACACAATTGAACTTGCAAATATGAATTTTTACCTACTGAAAAAGATATAAAAGAAAAAAAAAATAAAGCAGGGGAGTTATTCAAGCAGAAAACCAAATCAAAACCAAGCCTACCTACCCCCAAAAAATAAAAAATAAAAAAATCAAATCCGAGCTTTGAATCGGGTTCATTCCCACCTTTACCAACCAGCAGAAGAAAAACCAAAGATGCAGCCTTTTTTTATTTTTAGAAGAATAGGATGAGATTGAAACCTACAACTACATGTGGGCGGCAGTGAACCGAGCCACTCTATCACCTCAAGATGCAGCCATTCAAGTTATTACTTTGAGCGAATAAAATAAACAATAATCCATACAAAACAGTTGAGTCATGCATCCCAGGCATCAAAAACTATTACTTTGCCCACATGTAAACTAATTATTTATCATATGCAAGTAAATAAAAAATGGAAAATAGCTGTTTTATTGCAATAATAAAGTGATAAAATCTCAGTTTCATCTCTCCTCATAAAAACAATTGGGGGAACCGACTTACAAAATCTCCCAATGCAAAGACTCGATACCACATCCTTCCATAACATCCTCAACGAATCACCATAGATGTCCTATACATGTCCCTGGAGCAAGTGTTCCCTCAAATAATATATCCCTCCCCGAACAAAAACAAAACAAATGAGGAAAATAGGACAAGAAAAGAAAAAAAAACTGTAATTGATTGAGCTTGTGTGGGAATATTCAAAACTCCCAGTGTTTTGCCTTTGAACACGCAGCAGTTGCAGTGGAGAATCACGAGTGTATGCACAATTTTTAGGAATATGTTCACAGATCACAAAAATATTTCTTTAATAATTAGGAGGACCAACATTATAAAGCACATGATAATGAGCACTGTAGCGCACATCACCATGCCCCCTTTTTTCTGAGTTCTCTCTGCCTGCAAATAAAATGCATTCCTCATGACATTAACAAGAGAAGATAGATAAAGAGAAGCACAGAGATGAACCATAGGTAGCAGAAATTTTAAACTAAAATTATATCTTGTGAAAGAGAAGCTTAAATGAAAAAGAAGAGTACGGACCTTCTGAAGCTGTTTCAAACCCTCCTCCACTGATGCGGCAACATTCTGAATGTTGTAATCAATCCTATCAACAATAGTGCCCTGCTTGGAGACATAATTTCAGTTAAGTCAACAAAAAATTGAACTGACCAAAAAAATAAATAAATAAAGCATTGAAGAACTTCCTGAACTGGTCATTTTGAATGTGTAGCTTCTGACCTGGTCAATCACAAGGACAGACAGATCCTTCATGATTTGGGCAAGTTCATTCACCGATTCCACTACCTAGAACCAAAAAGAATGTAGTCAACTAAAAACAAAGCATCATGTCAGTTTGTAAAGTCAGATCAATGAGCAAAAGCTTTTACTTACCTGTTGAATCTCTCTCTCCCTTTCTGCTGTGAATGCCTCACTTTTCTTTAGTTTGGCCATCTGGTGTTCATTAAATCCCTGAATAGATTAATTGGACGCCGACTTTAGATTGTGTGCTACACTGCTAGACAAATAAATTGTGTAAAACCACATATATCCAAATTTGAATTCAACTAACACAATTAAACGCAAGATAAGGTTAACTTACCATTTCATCCAATTCGTCATCCTCCATCCTAGAATGGTTTCTATTTAAGTTCATTTCTAGGTCCATCCCATCAGGACCCTAAGTCAGCAGGAAATATATTAGTAAACTTTCAGAGACATATGCCACCTGGACCACACAAGGGATAAAATACAATACATCTGATCATAAATAGCTGCTAACAATTAGAACAAATAAAAAACGGTGCAGAGGAATTACGAAGTTCATAAGTATGCATGACAAAGCAGTTCAAAAGGCCATAAACTGCGAAGTCAAAACTGTCACAATATTTCAAAGATGCTACTAAAAAATTGTCCAATAAACAAAAAAATGCTTCACATACCTCTTTCTGCTGCCGAAGGCGCTGCAAGTAAGTTGACTGTTTCTTACGAAGTTCCATTGAAAGGTTCTGAAGATCAGTGGCAAGAGAGCGCTGCCATAAGATTATCAAAAAATGAGCAAAGTTCATACAGGCTTAAATTTTATGAAAAAATGCTCCAACCCCAACATAGAATCACATGTTTAGAATGACTAAGATCGCATTTGGTGTGCTGACTAATTCTGAGCAAGTCAGATTGTATTTCCTTGCCTGTACAGAACAGGAGGGCAGTAGAGCAAGAAAGTAAAGGGTGAAAAAAGATAACCCTCTTGCTTTTTCTTAATTCCTCACTGATAAGTGTAAAGGATTAACACAATGTATTGAAGAGGAATAGAGAGAGGTCAAAAGCTTAACCTAGCTCTCATACATAAATTGTATTTATAGTTAACTGACAATAATAATAATAACACATACATCCTCTTACTATTAACAATTTACACATACTACTCTATTATTCTTAACACTCCCCCTCAAGCTGGACTATATATATCATATAATCCAAATTTGGAACAAATAGCTGTAAGACGCGTACAACTCAATGTTTTGGTAAACATATCTGCAAGCTGATATTCAGATTTCACAAATGGAGTTGTAATCTCCCCAACTACTATCTTGTCCCGAATAAAGTGACAGTCAACCTCAATATACTTGGTTTTCTCATGAAACACAGGATTAGCAGCGATATGGATAACTATCTGGTTGTCACAGAACAACTGTAAAGGAAGTTGAACTAGTAACCCAATTTCCTGGAGGAAGTGTAGTAGTCAAGTCAACTCACTCGTCGTATGTGTCATTGCCCTATACTCAGCCTCAGCACTGGATCTTACTACCACGGGTTGTTTCTTACTTTTTCATGAGACAACATTACCTCTTAGGAAAGTACAATAACTAGTGGTTGATCTCCGATCAGAAGGAGAGTCAGCCCAATCAGCATCTGAGAAACCTTCCACTCTAAGATGTCCATTAGCTTGATATAACAGTCCAAGTCCAGGAGTTTGTTTGAGATATCGCAAAATACGAGTAACTGCCTCCCAATGTGGTACTCTAGGACATCCCATGAACTGACTTGCTATACTAACTGCATAGGAAATATCCGGTCGAGTAATAGTGAGATAATTAAGCTTCCCAACCAATCTACGATACCGACCCGGATTCTCAAACAATACACCATCATCCATTAATAATTTATGATTCAGATCCATAGGGACATCATTCGGTCTACCACCCAGCAAACCTGCTTCCTCAAGCATGTCAAGTACATATTTCCTCTGAGATAAACAAATACCCTGTTTAGATCGAGTCACCTCAATACCCAAGAAATACCTAAATTTTTTCAAATCCTTAGTATGAAATGGATCCTGTAAAAATAATTTTAATTTGGCAATCCCCTCAAAATCATTTTCAGTAATCACAATATCATCGACATAGACCACCAATAGGACATACGCAACATCTGTCTGCCTATGAAACACAGAATGATCTGTTTGACATCGAAGAAGACCAAACTCTAAAACTGCATCTGAAAACTTACCAAACTATGCCCTCGGTGACTGCTTTAAACCATACAAAGATTTTTTTAACCGACATACACTCTCACTCTTACCCCCTGAGCAATAAACCCAAGTGTCAAATCCAAGACTCAAATTGTGAACATAACAGACACAACCAAAAACCTTAGGAGTAAGGGAAAATAAGGGTTTACCAGGAAACAGAACAGAATATAGACTTTGTCCATTTAACACAGAGGAGGGCATACGATTAATAAGATGACAAGTAGTAAGAACAGTATCACTCCAATGATATCGAGGAACATTCATCTAGAATAACAAGGCACGGGTGACTTCCAACAAATGGCGGTTCTTACATTCAGCAACACAATTTTGTGGAGAGGTGTAAGCACAAAAAGTCTGATGAATAATGTAAGTTTTACTAAAATAAGCTGAAAAAAGATCAGATTCATATTCACGTGCATTATCGGAACGTAAAGTACGTATACGACAACCAAATTGAGTTTTTATTTCTTTACGAAAAGTCTCAAATATATAGAATAATTCAGACCGAGCTTGCATCAAAAATAACCAAGTCACACAAAAATAGTCATCCACAAATGTCACAAAATAAGGATATTTATTAGACGTAATATTCTTTATTGGACCCTATACATCATAATGGACTAATTCAAATGGACTAGACACACGATTATTGACTCTAGACTGAAATGACACACGGTGATGCTTACTAAGTTGACAAGCTTCACAAGACAAAGACGACACATAACTACGACTAGGAACTTGACACTTCAGATTCTGGAGAGAAGGATGTCCAAGACGACAATGCCATTGAAAAGGAGACAATGAGGTCTGTAAAGCTTGGGTAGATGAATTAAAGTCAAAGTAATATAGGCCACCAGCTTCATGTCCCGTACCAGTCATCTTCTTCGTCTTGAGATCCTGAAAGACACAATAAGAAGGATAAAAAATTACAGAACAGTTGAGAGAACGGGTAATCTTGCTAATGGAAAGTAAACTAAAAGGAAACTGAGGAACAAATAACACGGAAGATAGAGACATATCAGGACTCAAGTGAGTAGTCCCCAAACCTGAAACTTTAGAACAAGTACCATTAGCAAGAGTAACACTACGTGTGAAAGTAGCAAACTGATAAATAGAAAAAACGTTAGACGCACCAGTCATGTGGTCAGAGGTGCCATAATCTATGATCCAAGGACTGCGAGTAGAGGACAATAAACAAGTGGAAGCAGTACCTAACCGGAAAAAAATAGCAGTGGAGGGAGTTGAAACAGCTTGTTACTGAGACAGGAACTGAGCATACTCCTCTCAACCCAGTGTAATAGTAACCGACCCAGTGTCTATTGGAGCTGACCGAGGTATGGAAGCACAACAGAGGTGTCATCCTGATAAGAAGCCTAATTAGCAGTACCAGAAGGTTTTCCATGTAAATTCCAACAGAAATCAACAGTGTGTCCTCCACGGCCACAGTGAGTACAGGAATGGGATCCACCACGACCTCCTGTATGACCACCCCGTACGACCTCCTGTACGACCTCCGCGACCACCACGTCCACCTCGATGACCATCACTATAGCTATTAAGAACTACAAGAGCTGAGCGATCAATGGAGACACCATAATCAATGACTGAAGGAGTAAACAGTGTAGCACACTGTAAACGNCTATAGCTATTAAGAACTACAAGAGCTGAGCGATCAATGGAGACACCATAATCAATGACTGAAGGAGTAAACAGTGTAGCACACTGTAAACGAGAGAAAACCTCCAGCAGTGATAGAAGACTAGATCCACCCAAAATCTGAGAACGAATAGCCTCATATTCAGGTTTCAATCCTACCAAAAATCGAACAACATTCAGGTCCTCGTGTTGCTTTTGCCAAACTGCTGCATCAGTAGTAAACGAATGATAAATTTTCATCTCCTCACAGACTCCCCGAACATGAGTAATAATCCGCAAGGCTCAAAGTACTCTGCTCCAACCAGAAGTACTCCTTCCACACCTCATACGCACGGGTAAAATTACCTGTACTAGAATACATAGTGGCCAAGTGATCTCATATCTCTTTGGTAGTATCAAGATAGAGCAGAGAAGAGCTAATACTAGGCTCTATGCTATTCAATAATAAAGAAATAATCTGAGCATCCTCTTGTTCCCACTGATCATACCCAGGAGTGTCCTCCTTGGGTTTAGAACCTACCAGATATTTCTTAAATCCTTTGCCTCGAAGAAAGACTTGAACAGATCGGGACCATAAAGTATAATTAGTCCCATTGAGTTTGACAGAAGTCATGGGACCATTTATAAGAGTAGGAGGAGGCAACGTGGGATTTTTTTGTTCCATAATAATGCAGCAAATAGCAAATAAGTGTTGCAATAAGAATCCGGGTCAATTGGACCTGCTGGAGGACTGAACTGGACTGAAAGGAGCTTCTGGACTGCTNACAGAAGTCATGGGACCATTTATAAGAGTAGGAGGAGGCAACGTGGGATTTTTTTTGTTCCATAATAATGCAGCAAATAGCAAATAAGAAGTGTTGCAATAAGAATCCAGGTCAATTGGACCTGCTGGAGGACTGAACTGGACTGAAAGGAGCTTCTGGACTGCTGAACCGGACCACTTGAGGCTGCTAGAAGGCTGAACCAGCCCCAGAAACCTACTAGAAGGCTGAACCGGACCTCAAAAGTCTGCTAGAAGGCTGAACCAGACCCAAGAAGCCTGCTGGAAGGCTGAACCAGACCCCAAAAACCTGTTGGAAGGCTGAATCGGGCAGAATAAATGCACTAGACCGATGAACCGGAGTGAAAGATGATTGAACCAGTCTGAACCGGTGCAAAACCTAATTGAACCGGGTCACAGAAGGTTACTGGACCGATGAATCAGAGTCACCACTGACTGAACCGGTTTGAATCGATCTAAGGTTAACTGAACCGGACTTCGTTTTTTTTTTTTTTATCCAAACCTTGTCTTCTTCACGATTAGGGTTTTCGTAGCCCTAATTTTTGATTGTGTCTCAACTACCACAGCTAACACTAGCGAATGACTGCGCCTCAACCACCACAGCGAGGGAATCTTCGACTACGTCTCAACCACCACAGCGAACGATTGACTGCGCCTCAACCACCCCAGCTAACGACAGCGCCTCAGCCACCACAGCGAGCGACCACGATGACCAGACAGACCACCACAACTATACCACCACCAACAACGACAAACAGTAAACTCACCACTAGCAACGATCAACAGTACACAACCACAACAACAAATGTATCACCACTACCACCACTGTAACTTCTACGATCAACAGTACCACCACCACAGATTAAGTTAATTTATCCAAAATATATTTAGGATTAAACCATACTTTGATACCATGATAAGTGTAAAGGATTAACACAATATATTGAAGAGGAACAGAGAGAGGTCAAAAGCTTAACCTAGCTCTCATACATAACTTGTATTTATAGTTAACTTACAATAATATTAATAACACATACATCCTCTTACTATTAACAAATTACACATACTACTCTATTATTCTTAACACTCACCATCACTGA